CCGCTGTTGCTAGTCTGTAGTGCAGCTATTGATTTGACATAATGCAGACTCTGGTAGGATCTAATAGCACTAACTCTGACCTTCTCTATGACCGCTGGATTGCAGTGCTTCTAATAGTCTTTATGTGACTTTATGCCTTCGATCCTGGCATGTGGTCCAAACATGAACAAATATCACACAGCATCATGCAATCGCTGTTTAATTTATGCTGAAGTCAATGTTTGCAAGATTAGGGGACATGCAAAGGAAATTGAGCAAAAGGCCATTAGAATGTGACTCTTTATCGCAGTAAAAACATACAGACGGATACAACTATGGATGTGTGTGTGTGAGGAGCCCACTGTATAGCTGCACATGCCTGTGGACTTTATCAGATTGTGTGAATTATTTATGAGGTAAACTCTGTGGAAAATGCTGCCTGTAATTGTATAACATCCATCCTACTGCCTACTGCTGCCATTAAGAAACCAGTGGGCCTCACTGAGTCTAGTAGTAATTAAAATCTCAAAAGATGAATCACCTCTCCTGTCAACTGCAGCACGCCCACCTCAAAGAAAGGTTCCAATTTAAGATATATGGTTAAATCATTATACTTAGAGAATTTGTAACTGTAACAATCTGGCAGCCTACATTTTGCATAGCCTATCCTCCAAAACTTCAGCATATTAGTGGTTATTATTTTTGACAACTCAACTCAATATTTCATCTCTACCAATGTTATATGAGTTCAAGTAGCCTTCTAGCAGCACACTTGCAAAGCCAGTCAGACTGCGGGGCCATAATCGTGCCAAATGCCTCTAGTTGGACACATTTGCTTTTGAGGGCAGACACTAAAATGTTCAGATTTTGAAACTGTCATCTGACACCTGTGATGTTGACGCTCAAATGCGCTGCATGAATGCTCAAAATGTGCAGTGGAAACAATGGACGAGCCTATACAAGTGCCTTTGCATGTGAACCTGAGGCCCCTGATGGCGTGTTCTGAACACAGCAAGACTTCTGCATGTTATTATGGAGTACTTGTGAGTACACATGGCCACTTATTATAATATCCCTCACATGGTGTACTGATAATTAAAACTGAGAGATTATACAGTCCCTGAGCATGGCACTGTCACATATCCCAGCAACCCCACCTAGGGACAACAACTACTGGTAGATAGTCTTTGTGCTGTTTTCTGTCCCACCATGCAGCCTACTTTGCAGTTTTAGTAACGGATTTACATGAGTGCATAGATGCCACCCAAAGTCAAAGTAGAAGTACAAAATAAACCTGACTGGAGGCAAGGGCACGGTGACTCACCATAGTTGTTCCTGCAGCAGCTAGCTCTAATAAGTCACTGTGAGTGGTCAGAGGCTAAAGCAGAGGGATTGACTGTGTTTGGGCATTAGCTCAGTTGGACCAATTATAGCATTAGCTCAGACCTTTGGGTCTGATTTTGAATGATCCACATTTTGTAGGCTGATTTTACACGCAGGCACTATTTGTGAACCTAACTATGCAGTGAGCCAATACACTGTGGTCATTAACTCTCAAACACTGCAAGCCCCTGTTCTGACAGCTGGTGGCCAAGGCCAGAATTACGGGGTTAATATTGTCTGCAAAAGAAGGCAAATACAGATATTCTGGCTCCAAGTACAAAAGGAGAACATAGTTTATGAGTTTGCAAAAGACACAAATATTGTGCAAACCTGGTAATGTATTTTAGTCAAATTTTTGAGAACTATGTGGTGATTTACAATAGAGAAACATTCCTGGTGATTAAATCAAAGCTCTTCATTTTAAGGAGTTACTGAAAGGTGTACTAACATCTGCAACTCTATTTCTTTTTATATAGTAACATGCTTAAATGTTGTATACTATGAATCATTGCTTTGTCAGTCAAAAAATTTTTGTTTTCACTTTTTGAAAAGAATGGGGAAGTGAAAGGAGGTTGAATAAGGATTGGGCACTCTGCTTCTGCTTACAAAGTGGAGCTAATTGAATTGAGCCCACCAAGAATCCTATAACACATTCCTCCTCTGACTGTGGAATAGGATGAACAGCAGTTTTGTCTGACATTTCCTGTGGAGCAAATGTGGCTGCTGATCTTTCACTCTGTGGAAATCATGCCTTTAATGTACCTAAGGTAGAGCTTTCATAAGAGTTATATTCAAAATACTCCCCAGTGACAGCCTCTGTATGCTCCAACTAAAGACCACTGGGTAAATTAACACCATTTTAAGAGAGAAGTTGATGCAACACAGTAAAATCAAACGTGTGCAAATATGACTGAAGTCTTTCTGATGATGGTGTTACAGCTAAACAGCCACAGTTTCATCAGCGACAGAGACTCATTTATTACACACTAAACCTGGCCAAGAGTAAAAGTAAAAGCTTACTTGAAATTCAAATTTAGAAAAACTTATCACTTAGATGTACTGTCAGCCCAGTGGTTAAATCAAAGCTCTACAAGATGGCTTTTGTTCTTCCCACTTCCCACATTTGATAATTAACACAATTCTGGGACATGGATTATTCCTCATGTGGTGCTGGAAGAAAGCATGGAACTAAAGGAAATATTTTTAGTTTGTGTACAAAGCTTCAAGTAGAGCCTCAGAACAGATGGGACAGGACCATCTGCAGACAACATGAATTTAAGAGTTTAAATCAAGCAGGCTTCAGACTGTCATAAACACACTGTGGCTCCCAATACTGTTGATTCCTTCTTAGTAAAGGAGCTGACTCAGAGCTCATTCTTGACAAAAAAAGCAAATCAAATTAGTATTGTTCATTTGTTGCTTTTATTCAGAGGTGGGACTTTTTTTTTTGTTGCAAAATCAAGGTCTTTTTTTTACATAGAGAATTCTAAGAAAAATGCCCTTCTTGATACTCGTCATCATTAGCACATATATTCAGGCTTGGGATTAACACAATGAGCACAAGCTGTACTCTCTTGATGCATATGTTTATAGAGTATATCTGGTCATTGAATTGAGGATAGAAAAAGACAGCTTTACCAGATGTTTTCATTGTTTTAGTTCTGTATTGATATAAAGTAGGGGTGGGCGACGTTGCAAAGAATTAGCTTGCAGAAAGTGTTTTCCAAATGTCTATGACTACTTAACTGCAAAGAAACAATGAATGATGCATATGTGGAAAATGGTAAAAATGCTCAGTCAAGGCTACTCAAATTGACTTCACCGTTTGTTGTTGTGTTGTTAGGTTGTGTGCCTGTGGCTGCATGCTCCTGCTGGGGGATGTGTTTTGGGGGAGAGGTTGTTTTTGGCCCTGATGCTGTCAGAGAAGGCCAGACAGTGACATTATGCCAGCCAGGCAGGCCTCCAGGGAGAGCCATGTTAAATACCATCTCCTGGAGCGCAAATGACAACAACTCCGAGCTGTTGTTTGTGAGTCCGCCGCTTTGTGTGTTTTACCGTTCCTGCATTTACAGTGGTTTCTCAAAGGCAGGCAAAATGTAAACTAGTGCAGACAAAAATTTGCACAAATCACTTGACTGTGATTGTGGTAGGAGTCAAGTCACTTCAGTTTGACTTTTTTTTTTTTTTTTGCCTTAATCCAGCTATTGGTGAAAGATGTACTTTTTTTTTTTTTTACACCAATCCTTAACCTGGATAAATGGACAGGGATACATTAGGATAGACCTGGAAGCATCTCTAAATAATATGAAGGCAGATGATGCACTGTGGAGCCAAAAATGAGAGAGTATTAGAAATCCCCCCATGGTGAAGAGACAACAGTTTGCTTTGGAAAATCTCAGGACTGAGATTTGTTGTAATTGAAAGTGCATTGCAGCCTGGAGACGGTGCAGTTAAATTAAATTAATTGAATTGTGATCCAGTTGTTTAAAACTGTCAGTGGTCAGCTATGGGCTTTTTAACTGACTGGTCTACAGCTGACCTTGTGGCAGTAAAAGCATGTTGTTTGGAGCAGAGATTGGACTTGGAGGAATAATTTGGATTTTGTGTGTTTAAGTAGCACTTGAGTGGAAAGCATTGATTAATCGTTGCAGAGGAGGTACTAATGAGTAGGCCTGTCTTGTCTAGGTTCTTAAACCTTTTTATTAAAAGACATAATGTTTCTAAAAATAAAAAAATGTGATCAATAAATGTGGGCTCTACTGAAAATGCTGGAAGAGGTAGTTTCTTTGGGGACAGGAAGCCATTCTGAGCTCATAATAACCAGTTTTCTCCAGGAAAGGATGACAGCGCAGCCCCAATCTCAACAGTGATTGGCTGCAGCTGACCCACCATCACTTTGCTTTTAGGCCTCATAAGTTTGTTTAGTGACAGTAAAAATGGTACAATTGTTTGGCCAGTACTGCATCTAAAAATCACAACATCAGGAATGCTGTTTGAACAGGATACATAATTTCTTCTGCTAGTTAACTCAACAATGCAGAGGAGCTCCAGGGCTCATAGGGCCACTTGTTGGACAACACCATTTTAATGACAGGACTGTTGCATTTTTCTGAGCAAAACTGTTGTGTAACCAGGTTTACCAGAGATTTCAAACATACCTTTTGTCTACACAAGACATATGCACACGCAGTTTGTGCAAAGTAGCGGCCTGTCAATCTAAGCTTTGTGAGACAAGGAGCTGGTGACAAGATGTCAGAAACCTGTGGAGTGTAAGAGAATAACAATAAGATGGAACAAGTCCCAAGGTTGGCCTATGACAGGTTACAGGACTGAGTAGGAAGTCTAGTCAGGTTCAATCCTGCTCCACTGATCTTCCACTTTAACAGCACTATGGAGACTGCAGTTCACAAAAACTATGAATCACAACCTTCACTGTATAAAACACTAGATAAGCTAAAACAAGCTAAATACAACAAGACAGTAAAATGTAGCCAATGCCATTAAACAAATTGGGTCTTTCGTTGCTGTATTACAACAATAATATAATATAATATGCAATTAACAAAGGAATAATGAAAAATAAATAACAAGATCTGAGTAAGCGCACTGTCAGGTGCTTGTGTTTGTGTTGCACTTACCAATTCTGAAGGAAAGCGGGCCAGCAGCAGTGCTTCTCACCCACATGGCTAAGAAGAGCAGAAGCGCCCAGGCTGTGAGCATCTTCTATGACTCCTCATGGGTCCTGCCCCGGGGATGCCCCTGTCACAGCCACCTGCAACACACAAGGGGCATGCTGCATTACCCATCAGCATTCACAACCCACAAGAGACAGAATATTTAGATAGGCACAAGAGTATAATTACAACATTTCCTGCTGTATTCTGGAAAGTTCAGTGTTTAGTATAACATTTTTAGGGATTCAAATCTTGATATTTCTTTTGTGACACCACAAAAACATGCTGGCATTTCTAAACCACCCCAAATCTCAAGAACAGTGACTGTTGATGTTGTTGCTGTTGTTCACTGTTAAGGACATTGTCTCACGATTCCGCCCCATTCACTATAATGGCTATAACAAATCAAAGCAGTAATCAAAATGGCCACGGATCGCTCCTCCCTGAGAGGATAAGGAAAGAGGGGGGTTACAGACTGCCATCCTAGGGGTGGTAACATTGCACCCACTCATTCCCCATGCAGGTACACAGCCTAGTCCAAGCTGTCAATCAAAGTCCCGCCTCATTAAACATGCAAAAACTTTAAAAATCCACAGCGGCCAAACAAGCCTGGTTGACAGAATTTCACCCCTTCAGAGTTGTCACACAGCCAGAACTTTTGGCATCTGAGGCCAGAACCGTCTTTTGAACCAGGCCCTAAAAATGGTTTTGACAAGTGCAAAGTCACCATTGCATTTTAGAGTGTATTGCTGGTTCTGCAGCCAGACCTAGCGGTCAGCAGCCAGATTGCAGCAGTGGCAGTCTGCCATCTTGAGCATTATTTGAACGCTGTATAAGCACGCACTGCTCTCTACCAGTGGACAACTTTGTGCAGCACTAATTTTCTTAGTTTGGGCAACAAACTAGTGGGCTAACCAGTAGCAGCTCTCTGAACAGCTGTGCCGGAGTGCACGTCTGTTCCACCTTTTCCCTCCAGTGTGCTGTCAAACCTGAGACAGCCAGCGACAGGCAGCTCCTTTTTACCAGAAAACACACCTGAAAGGATTCATCTTATTGAGGTTGGTTAGAGGGCAAAACGCAGGTGGAAAACTAACTGAAGACAGGCACTGATCTCATAACTGAATACTTCATGTCACAAACGCTAACCAGGTTTTTATTTGACAACAATCAATCTCCTATTTGCAGACACATGCTAATAAATCTCAGTAAATCCAATAAGTAACGCTGTTCCAATGATACAGCTCAGACAAATGCCAGCAGCTTGCTTACCACACTTGCTTTTTATAACAAATCTCCTTCTATAGTGCTAAGTGCTTCTAGTGTAGTGGTAGGTTTATGCAAAGTTAAAGACTTCATATTGACATCATCATGTTTAAGGAGAATGTTAATGTTCTTTTGTTTTTTACAGTTTAAACTGAATAAAGCCCTGAGGTACAGATAATACACAACAATCACCTAATACATTACTATGCTATAAATAACAGCTGTCAAAAGTCACCCTCAAGGATGTAAGGGGATCTTTCAAGTATTAATAAGAGGCTTGTCCAAAACTAATTGAGTGTTGAAACTGCCTTGCAGCCACATTGACAAGACACACACAAGAAAGTTCTATGGTCTACAGTAGTGTTACATTCAAATTCAGAGTTAAAATAACTTGGATCAAAAAAGCCCCAAGTCCACATCTTACAAGTTGTGTAAATACTTTTTTCCTAGTGCATAGCAGTCAAAAATCGATAAAGTTAGAGTGATAAGAACTGAACACATATATACATGTCAAAATCTTTGTCCTTGAAGTCTTCACAATAATAAAGAGTGAATGGTGGAGGCATCAAGAATACTAACTCTTCAATGAGGTCAAGTCCCTTCTGGTTTTTCTATAAATCACTGCCATTCTTCAATACACTACATTGATCAATACAGATGAAAACTGAGTGCAATGATTGACCTTATTTTCCTACATAAGCATTGATCTGAGAACGCCAACAGAAATGTATCCTAAGAGGCATTTCTCAGTTTCTTGACAATAAAACTATAGTGCATACTCATTTCAAAGTACAATAGCACTCAGACAGGATAGCAAGGAATGAGGGAACAAAGCAAGCCATTTTTACTAAAAGCTGGCACGTATACCAGGACAGACAATCACTCTATAGACTTGTACCAGAGTGTTTTGAGCATAAGCCACATTTGAGAGCTGAATAGGCTGCAGCTAAGAGATGAAATATAGCGATTGTAATGGCTCCTTTGTTTCTTTACTCTGAAAAAAAGAAGTACAGGCTGAGATTGAGAGATCAGAACAGAAATGAGGACTGCAGTGTAATCATTCTAAACAAAGAAGGTGAATGGGTTTGTGAGATTTTGTTTGCAATTCTGTGAGCTTATGTAGTGACCGTTAATTGCAAATAGATTTTCAAATATATAGACAACAAAATGAAAAAACAGTTTGGTGTGTATAGAGTTTATGTCTGTTGTAGGTTGCAGTAGGGAGTATTTGAGTGGCTGGATAATAGCTGGTGGATGGATGCCAGCCAGACAGAATGCTTTTCCATATTATTCTTCATCATTGTCAAACAACTGCAACTAGCAGTGCATTTAAATGGCATCTGAATGAAGATGAGGCTTGTTGCTTTCTTTAAATGCCGGTGATTACAACTCTTCCGCTGCACTGCGTTCACTCTTATGTAATGATGCATCTGTGTAATGAGAAATTCAAACCACCAATGATCTCAGTTCATGCCATGCGACTTTTTAACATCAAATGTAAAATGCTTAAATGGGCACTTACGGTGTGTGCATATGAAACATGAATGCATTATTATTTTAATGATAATGCAGTTGAAATGAAAATGCACAAACAGCAACAACAACAGGTTAGCCTCTGCTACTTGTAAGACATGCCCTTAAGGTGGATGTGTGATTATACTTCTATGTCATTATTTTCAGAAGTTAAGTTGTAGTTTTGTAAAGTATTGTCTATGGAGCTATATGTTATATTCTTATTATATATTAAAAAAAAAGAAAATATAAGATACTGAGACACCAGCATGAATGACGGGTCAATGTTGAACTAGAGAGATGAGGGGATCAGCTACTGACAGAACGCTCTTGGCAGCTGTTTGGCTTTCCCATCAGTGGAAAAGTAAAAAAAAAATTTAAATATCAGAACTGTCAATCACACATCAAAGTTTGTGTAATTCTGTTGCAAATGGTCAATTAAAACTGACAGCTGGAACAAGATCAAGTCAGATGCATAATGAGCCTGCATTTGCATATGTGCTCCAACCCAAAGCTCAATCTGCCATTGGCTCTAAAGCAACTAGTGGATGGAGCCAAGTGCACATGTGGTGCTGGGTAAGTTTGAGTTCAGACACTTAAAATGGCCTTTGAAAATGCCTCTTTAACATTATGTTGCATGTAAATATGTTGCATATAGAATTACCTGAGATCTTATGTGCTGTCTCAGGTCTGTCAGGAGAAGAACTGCACTGACCACCATATTACAGTCATGAACACTTTTTATTAACAGCCCAGTCCCTGCAGTTTCCCTGTCAGTAATACAACGCAGAACAAGACACTGACCTGATCTTGAGACTGCTCATACAATGTGGCCACAGTGTGCTTGTGTTGGTATAAGAGCTCTCTGCCTCAGAGCTGAATCAGTCTGACTTTACACAGCCAAGTCAGCACAGCCAACTCCAACAGTGAGCTCTGACACACAACAAAATCACTCCTCCTCACACTGAGAAGGACACAAATATGCTTGTAAACAGGAGAAGTTACACAATCTAACTACTCTAAGATAAGCCTAAACCGCGGCTGTAGGTGGAGGATCTGTTGGGAGCAACTTTTGTTTCAACACACAGAATAAGTGTGGCATAAAACAGAAAAATAGCGAGTATTTTCATTTCAATACCAATAATTTTAATGACTAAATTAGAATAGAAAGTCTATAATTAAAGCTAATTACCCTTTTTTCCCAGCAGTATTTATTTTATATTTCATCTTTCATAATTAATCAGCTATAATGCATGGAACAATCAGTGATGACAGTGTGATGACATTTTAACAGTCAATGTATCTTTATTTTATTTGAAGGGCATACTGTATCACCGTTGATAATGGCAGGTAGACAAACAAAAAGCTGTTTGCATCATATTGTATAATAGAAAGCAATTCTTAACCAAGACCTAAAGTATTCACTCATAAAGTTACAATTTGAACAAAACAAAATTCTGTAATTGAATAATAATAGCTAGCCCTCATGATGCAAGTGTTCCCAGAGGATTCATTCATAGTAAATAGTGGAGAAGGAGCAGTTACATAAAGCATTGGACAATCACACTTCTCTCACTGTCATTACTGTGAACAGAATAGAATGTCTGCTCAGTGTATCACAAGAACTCTATGGGCAATCAGCCACGACCGGCCTTGTCCACACACCTACAATTGGACTTGATTGGCACAGTGTTTGGGGTTTCTTAAAGGTGCCCCATGGAATTACACAGGCAGAGGAAGCTCACAAGTGGCCGGCGAAGAGCCACAAATCAGGGTTATTTCATGAGCCATGAGGCCAGAGAGAAGAGAGAGGAGCAGAGCAAAAGGGCAAGCCAGAATCCAAGATGAATGAATGTAACAAATGCTCATCTGATGGAGCTCATCTCAAGGGTCCTCCTTTGCAGCCGCCCTCTGTCGTATCACTGCTGCGTCTAGATGTGTCTGCACACGATGGGTCAAGACAGCCGGACCCCTCTCTTTTATGACTGCAATATGGATTGGAGAGAATGAGGGCCTTCCTCAACTCAACAACCTGGGCCTCTCCAAAGATTAATAGGCTACCATTACACTGGACAACAAATCACAATACAGCAACAACACACAGCCACAAGGATGCAACAAAACATAGAACACTTTCACCCAAATGCTAGATTTGGTATAGCCAGGTTGTTAATGTGCTTTTGCAAACAAAAGTTTAATTTACAAAACAGTTATTGTATATATAATATGCATCATAATATTGTTTAAGTTCAAAGCCTGCTGCGTCATATT